AAGGTGAAGGCATAGCCACTGGAGGTGGTGCCAAAGTCGATGGCCACCACCACGGAGAAGGAGGCCTTCTGGGCGGCTCGGACCTCTGGCTTCTGCAAATGCAAGACCTAGTTAGCGAGCAGCCAGCAAGGCCAGCTCCCTGTACTTGGGGGCCCCTCCCCATGCTGTGCTTCAGCCCTGTCCCCCCACTTATGCCTCCCGGTCTGGGCTCCCTTCCTTGCAGACTCCAGTGGAGCCCTGGACATGCCAACTGCTCAGAAAGCCCATCTCACTGTCTCTCTCTCCAGTGAGTGCATATGCCCTAAGGCAAAAACCTCTCTAAATAAATAAATTGATTAAAAAAAAGATAGGACTGTGGGGGAACCAGTAGTAGATGGTGTGGAGGTTAAGGCAACTGGGTCCCACATGGCCAACTACATGGTTCAAGGCCCAGACTGGTGGTTTAAAAAACATGCCAGGTGCACATGTATACACGCCCCAAATCCCAAGATAATGGAGGAGGAGGGATTTCCTTGCCCCACCCCCCCCGGGGCGGGTCTTTCTCACTCCCCACTCCATGTCTCTTTCTGTCTCTTGCAAGTTTACACACCCGGTCACAAAAATCAAAACAAAACAAAAGATATTCAAGCAAGATGTGGCTGTGGTTGACTGAATGGGAAGCCGCACTGGTAAGTCCCAGTGCTCTGAGGATCTCAAAAAGCCACATGCTCAGGAACACCTATTCCAGCCAGGGCAGCCTCAGTGGCCCCTGGGTGTCCTCCTGTGGCAGGGGGTTTAGGAGTTGATTAGTTATATGCGGTTCATCTTTTCAGTGGAATTGTCACCCCTACAGCCCAAGGCCACCTGCATGGCTGGAGTGTGCAGGCAGAGAGCATGGTCGCCCCTTCCCCCTCCTCCTTCCAGGCCAGGCTCTGCCTGGCATGACCCCTCTCTGTACCACCCAGGCCACCCACCACCCCGATTCCTGCCCAGGCTTACTGGAGACTGTGAGGGAGTGAGGGGGGCAATGCCGCAGCTTTCCTGGGTCCTTGGGGAGCCGGGTGGGCTGGGCACTGGGGATCGCTCTGGGCTGGAGCCTGCGGAAAAGAGAGGGCAGGGCACCTGGTACAATCAGGGTATGGGGTTGGTGGCTGGGCCCAGGCCTGGGGCCAGGAGATTCTCCATCAGTCCTTGCAGAGCCAAGGCCAGGGCCCCCCTCCCCCAGCCCCACTGGAGAAGGACATGTGTGAGGCAGGGGTAGGGCTCAAAGCCTTTGTTTAGTCTGAGGCAGCCTTTCCTAGAGAGGAACCATGCTTCACCTGGGGACTCCTTGTCTTCCCCAGCACCCCTTGGACATACGGCAGGGGAGGGAAGAGAGAGCCTTGTGTGGCAGCAGGTGACAGGCCCAGAGACAGAAAGGCAGGAGACAGGCAGTGAGTTCAGAGCGTGGAGCGCGACACTAATTGCTGGGAGGTGGGGCAGCTGGCCCAGAGGTGGGGCTGCTCCCCTCACCCCAAGCTGCGCCACATGGTTCTAATCAAGACTCTGGAGTTCCCCCTCCTCCCTCCCTACAAGAGCCCAGCTGGCTGCCTGGAAGGGTCCAGAGGGAGAGGCTGTACCTCCGCCTAGTCTGGCCCTGAACTGGGGGTCCACACACTAGGAGGTCTGACTACCTGCCCCCCCCCCCCCCCCCAGAGCCAGCATTTGGGCACAGGAGGCCCCACTGAGACCCTCTTACAGGCCCAGCGTAGGAGGAAGTAGAGCAGCCCTGGAGGCAGCCCAGGGCCTGCCTGGGGGGACCAGGCAGCTCGGGGCCAGTGTGGGCTCATAGCTGGTCATCAGCACACTGAGCTTTGATGGCATCATGTGAAGAGGGTGCTGGGGCTGCCCTGGAATCCATGGATCCCCATGGATTGACGAGGGAGGTGGAGTGGGATCTGGCATGACGATCCGATCCATTCACAAACAAGGCAGGTCTATCTGGCTTTAGGCTGAGCCAGGGCAGGGCCTGCGCTCTCTCAGTCCCAGCTTGGCCATGTGGCCCTGGATGGATCCCAGCCCTCCTTGGTCTTAGGCAACCCGGTATGTATGGGCGGGGGGTGGGGGAGTGGGGACTCTGAGAAGTGCCTGGACAGGGCTGGAGTCTGTCAGAGGTGCTGGAGAAGTGGAGACGTGGTGGTCATTTTCAGAAGCCAGCTCAGGCCCTGCCACCAGCTCCAGCCTGAGAGGCTGAGCTGCTGTGGCTGGCTCTAGCCTGGGAAGGGAGGCAGGAAGGAAGGGCCCGGCCGCCAGGTCTTTGTGAATGGACTTCCTGAGGAGTGTCCCTGCTTCCAGCCTCCCACCCCTGCAGAGAACCCAGAGCTGCTCCCAACCGGCACAGGCAGACGTGCATGGCATGCACACACAGAATTCTGGGCATGCACACCCACCTGCAGACTACACACTCCCACACAGGTCCTGTGCACACAGAGCTGCCCACCAACACACAGACACACAGGCACACCTTCACACAGGGCCCTGCACACACACACCCTACGCCAAATCCATGGACACATACAACCCTGTACACATGAAGCCTCCCAGTACACACACGTGAATACACATTCACTCATTCATGCACAGGGGGTCCCATAAACACAGATCTTCCCTGCACACACACACACACACACACACACACACGGGGCATCCTGTGGACAGACCTGCCCTGTGCACATGCATGCACACTCACACACACTCACATATACAGATCCCTCCCTCCACCCACAGGGGGTTCAGTTAAACAAACCTGCTGTGCACACATACTCATATGCACGCTCACTCATACACATTCTGGGGTCCAGTAAACACAGATCTGCCCTGCACGTGTGCACACACACCCTCATTGGCTCTCAGGAACCTCTACTGAGAGAGGACAACCTGCAGGTGGGTCTTGGGGCCGGGGCAAGTGGGGTGGCAGGTTAGGGCAGAGTGGTGGGGGACCTTACCGATATACAGCCCCTGCAGGCCCATCTCTGGGACAGCCAGCATCCTTGCAGGCCCTGGAGCTGTCAACAGGAACAGACAAGCAGAAGGGGATTTATTTGTCCCTTTGTTCTCTCACTGAATGTTTATTTTATTTATCTATTTGGCTGGAGTCCTTCGAACCAAATCCCGGACATCATGTTTCACCTATAAACTCTTCAATATGTCTCTCCAATAGATAAAGAAATTTTTAAAAGCCTCATCACAACATCATTTTCCTGTCTAACAAAATTAATAGTAATGCCTTAATCTCATCTAAAGCCCATAGACCCAGCTTGTCTCAAAACCGATTTTGCTTGGCAGGGATCAGGAGCCTCCCAAAGGCTTTCTAATGCCCATGCTCTGCCAGGTATTGGGAGACACTGGGGACTCAGAGAGCCAAGGTGCCTGCCCTGGGGACCCATAGTGTGGTAAGGGACATGATCATTATCAGATAATCATGAAAGTGATCATGAGATTACAGATGATGCTGAGGGCTGTGAAGATGGCAGCTGGATGCAGTGGGGCCGAAGGCACCTGGGCAGAGGGCTGTGCTGGGCTCACCCACAGGCAGGCCCTGTGGACCCTACTTTATCTAGTTTTATATGAAGGGCAACAGCAATCTTGAAAGGCTTAAAGTGGCAAAGTGGGGGGTAGGAAATAACTACATTTGCATGTTCTTAATTGCTAAAGGGCACATGCACTTGCCAATGAGGGAGAAAGAGAAAGCACCCCCCCAAGGGACATGGTCACTCTGAAATCTTTTTCCTCCATTTCTCCTTCCCATCAGGAGTTTGGGCACACACGCACACACACTTGGTATGATTTTCAAGTCACCTGGGCTGGGATTTGATCTGTGGTCGATCATATGGGATTGGACTCTCGATCCATAGTGCTTAACTGCTGCACTGTAGGCTGGCCCTAAATTTGCATTTTTGAAACATCCCTCTGAGTGCTGGGAGAGGGGATGACAGCGGGGAAATACAGATACAGGAGCCCAGCTGGACCACTGTGGCCTCTCAGGTGGTAGATACGGTGGTGGCCGTGTGCCCTGGGAGAGGAGTGGAGACACATGGAAGACATAAGTTAAAATGAACAGGGGCCAATGGCAGATGGCTGACTCGGATATAGGGGGCTAGGAAGAAGAAGGTGTCGGGCTTGCACTGTCTGGTTCAAACCAGAAGATGGATGGGAAGATGAGAACACTGGAGAATGGGCAGGCTGGGTGGGGTGGGGCAGTATTGGATGTGGTTCTGAACTGCTGAAAGCCCATACCGAGGAGCCAGATGATACATGAACTGGAGGTCAGGGAGAAATCTGAGTTGGAGATGTGCGCTTGGAAGTCATTGTCCTGGGAGAGTTAGCGGAGAACACAGAGGGGAAGGGAAGGGAGGGGAACCTATACTTCAGGTTGCAGAGGAAGGTGGGCTGGCTAAGGAGGTTGCCATGCTTCCTGTGGCTTGATGAAGATCACAGGAAAAGAAAAGGGTGAAGCTAGCTGCCTGTAAGGGGCCTTAGATGAGGTTGGAAACACCTGTTTAATGGCACCACAGTAAGCCCAGGTGAAGACTGAGCGGGTGAGAGAACTAGAGAAGGTGCTTCTGAGCAGTTTGGCTGTGATCAGAAACGGACACAAAGGCGGTAGCTGGAGGGAGAGAAAGCTTGAGGGAGGTGATGAAAGGATGTTTAAGTTGTTACTATTTTTAATTTGCAAAATGGTGCATGTATTCACTGAGAAAAATAGAGAGAGGGAAAATGAGAAGCCGCCCCCCCATGAGGAATGATCATGCCACGATCCCTCCTCTTTCATTCTCCCTCCTTTTGAGATTTTGGGCATGTACATACACACACCTGGTACGTTTCTCAAGCTGCCAAGTTTGTGACTCAAACTGTGAGACCAACTGTGTGGGATTCAGCAGCCTTCGCCACCAGGCCACGGGCTGACCCTTTTATGTTCTTTTCTTTTTGTTGGAGAAGTTTTTGCTATAGGGCGCTTGTACTCGCCAGAAAGACAGACAGAGACAGAGAAACAAAAGGCAAGAAATCACCCCCCAGAGGGCATGGCCACACTGCAATCCCATCTCCTCCATTCTCCTCTTGGGATCTTGGGCACGCACGCACACACACCCCCGGCGTGAGTTTAAGCCACTGGGTCCAGGACTCGAACCGTGATTGACTACATGGGAGTCCAGAGATGTAGCCATTCCGCCATCTGCTGATTTCCCTTTTATGTTATTTTCTAAATGAGAGGAATTTGAGCTGCATCTGGTTCTGGGACCAAGCTACAAGTAGGATCCTCCAAATTATTGTCTGGTTTCTTACTCAGTCCTGAGGCTGACTCAGGACTGGCAGCTATGGCATTGCCTGGGAGCTGGTTAGAAATGCAGGAGCTCGGGCCCCATCCCAAACCTGTGGAATCAGACCTTGTACTTTAAGGAGACCCCCAAATGATTCGGGTGCACATTAAAGTTTTAGACACACTGTCCAGCCATGTCCCTTACCAATCTGTAGATAGCCATCATCTGTGGGCCTAGCTACCTCCCAAACCATGTTGAGGCTGCCCCCCAAACCATATTGAGGTTGCCCAGAGCCCACTCCCTCTCTGTAGACTGTGGCCCGATCAGGAAAGTTTGCCAACAGGACACAAGCAGATGCAACGGAACATGGCATACCCATATATTGGATTGTCAGAAAAGTCATGATGCATGTTGACATAAAAAAAAAAAAAACAGAAAAATATGTCATGACTTTTCCAACAACTGAATACATGCCACACACCTGCCCATACACAGTTTGCAAAAATGTAGCCCCGTCATGGACAGACACCCAGGCTTCTGTGTACGTTTATGGCTCCAGGACACTCCTGTATGACCAACACCATGGAGATTTCCAGATACGTGCAATCTTGCCACGCCACGGGATGTCCATAGTTGGATGCTTAGGAACCAGAATCAGAAGAATAGGGACTGGTCGTGGGCACTCCTACAGCAGTTGGCTGATGTTGAGAAGAGGGAGTGTACAGAAAGAGAGTGGGTAAGGATCTGGGGAGTCAGGGACGACAGCTCAACTCAGGGTGAGGGAATTGTATGAGTGAACTGGATCCTGCCAGCTCGTGAGGGCTGATTCTGTGTATAACATCTCTTCTTAATTCTCCATTCACAGACATCATGCTGGGGGCTTGAAATCAGTCATGTTGGAAGTATTTACACCACAGAAATTGGCAAACACTACAAATCAGGTTTTTCTCCCTTTCAAGGGTGTTGACTATGACACATTTGCTGGCATACCACTGGATCAAGGCCACAAGAAAGGAGCTGGAAGCCCTATTTGTACCTTGTCACAATTCTTCAGTAAACACTGAGCATTTCTTTCTTTCTTTCTTTCTTTCTCTTCTTTCTTTCTCTTCTTTCTTTCTTTCTTTTTTTTTTTAAGAGGTTTTTGCTATAGGGCATGTGCGCTCGCCAGACAGAGAGAGACAGACAGAAAGTGAGAAATCACCCCCCCCACCACCATGGGGGTTGGCCACGCCACAATCCCTTCTCCTCCGTTTTCTTCTTGGGATCTTGGGCACGCATGCACACGCATTCAGCGTGAGTTTTAAGCCACCAGGTCCAGGATGCGAACCACAGTCGACTACATGGGAGTCCAACGACATAGCCATTACGCTAACTGCTGGTCCCAGCTCTGAGTGTTTCTTTGTGCCAGTCTCCATGCTAAGTGCTGAGAACCACTTTGTTGAATGAATCAATGAATTGTCTAGACCAAGACCATCGTCCTTGAAGGAGAAACAATCTACTATAGAACCACTGGGAAAAGGACTCCGAGTAGTCACTCTGAGTTAGATTCTATGACTAGACCATGTGCCTACAGTCTCCCCAGAGAGCTGACACTTGGCCAGTTTGTCCCCGACTCTGAGTTTGTGATGCACTGAGAACCCCTACAATGGGGTCTCGGGGATGGCAAAGGTTATGCCACATGGCCGCTGGTGTGAACAGGTCACGTCACCTCTGTGTGCCTTAGCGGCCTTTCCTATAAAATGAGTGACACGGGGTTTACTAGGATGGACAAACCCAGGTGTGGAAAGTGCTGATAAAGGCGGGGAGCTGGCGGGTGTGAACGGTGTTCCTTCCCTTTACGATGCACAATCTGAATTTTCTGTTGTTGGAGGTTTGGGGTTGTGTTGCAGATGTTATTCTATTCCTACGTTCTTTAGGGAGGGAGGTCGGAACTGAATCAAGCCGAGTGAAAGAAGAAGGACTCCATCGTATCTGAGGTGGAGGCCAATGGGGGTGGCGGCCATGCAAGCATGCACACACACCCCGTTTGCCTTTGGGCCCCCAACCACACACATATACCCAGAAACATTTAAGGAGAATGTTGACCGTGGGGCTCAGGACAATCTCACCTCCCCAAAGCCAGGCCAGGGCAGGGTCCACAGCTGGAAATAGGGGAAGGCAGACCTCCACCCCAGGGGCTGGCTAATTTCCGAGTGGTGATGCCTACATGTTTGAGAGTACCTGGGCAGAACAATTGGATTCACAGACAGTGACTGTGTTTCCTACTGCAAGTACATACCTACCTGTGGACAGACCCTACCCCTGCCCGTGGACAGACCCTACCCCTGCCCATGGACTGACCCCTAGCCCTTGACCCCAAACTGAGCTCTAATCTTCAGCTTTACCCCTGCTCTGCTTCTGCCCAACAGGAATGGCCCACATGTCACTGGGGACCAGGACAGGGTGTGGCTGACTAAAGACTCCCAACCAGAGACTCCCATCCCAGACTGCTCCCCAGTCTCACGATGGCCTAGAACTTTTGGCCTGATAGAATTCTCCGAGGATCTCTTCCTGGGGCGAGAGTATTAGGCTGGGCACTGTGGGCTTATAGTGAGGCGGGGTTTCAGGGCTGCACACACACACTGTGCCCACAGGGACAAAGAGCTCACCAGGATCTCTAAGCTCCCCTCTGCATGGAGACCCTGTCTCTCCCTCCTCTACTCTCTGCTCAGCACTGGGCTGGCCCTTTAATGGAACAGGACTCT